CAGCAATATAAACTGAAATTTAACAGCAAAACAAACTCATTAAAGCATTCCAAAAGACAGAAAAATCAGCAAGCAGTATGACAAAGACAAACTTTACAAAGTTTCACTTGAAATACAACTTAAAGTTAAGCACTTTAGTCCTAAATCACAAAATCTGTAAGACTGGAAACCACTTGCTTTTGCCTCCAAAGGTGTCTTGTGGTCTGCCAGTGTAGTTTGTGGGCAAGCACGTCAATTCTAATCTTTTGTACCACTCCTGTAATCTAGGTAACACATACAAGCCTTGCAACATCCAACAGGAAGCAGAGACAGCTGCTGTGTAATATATATCTAAAGTGACTATATGTACAAGAGGGGTAGTGCATGAAATGCAGAACTTGGGCAGTTTATAAATCATTTAATTCCATTTAGTTTGAATTAAAAGTAAAAAGCGGCAAACTACAAAGAACCACCTCCTTTTTTCCCCAGTATGTGATTTATGTTGATATGAGTAACAACTAGTTCAAGATTTGTGGTAGTTTCTTAAACTTTCAACTATTTAATGCGAAGTTTTAACAGTCCAAGCTTTCTATGTATTCTTTTCCACATAGGGCAATTGCTTTACTTCAAAACTACCTACTGAAGTGGGATACTCTCTTGAATAGTAAAAAATGTTTCACAAAAATTGCTTTAACTTAACATTTCACTGTCTAGTCAAAAGCAACTTCTGTAAAGTACTAGCACCCCTTGTGCAGTCCGAGAGTGCTCGCAGCACAGCCCCTGCAGTGCCTGCACACTCCTGCCATTTATGTTCCATCAGTTAAAGCCCAATAACTGCAAGGACAAGTGACAGAGTGTAGCACTCACCAGACCTTGTTTCTCATGTGTCCAAGACAGGGCAACAAAGCCTGTGTACTTACTGACAAGAGTAACAAAGTTCCTTCACAGAAGCTGCAGCCTATTGGGGCTGCACAATGGAAAAGGATTGTAGGTTAAAATCATACTAAGCCAGAACTCATTAAGAATGTGGCAGAAGAAGCTTTAGGACTGGAAACAAATTGAAGGCAGAAAGAAAAATGCAAGGTGGAAAGAGTTCAGTTAATGAAAAGAACAAATGGCAATGGGACATGAATTTCTGCCAAGGCAAGCAAAGTGCCTAAGTCTAGGGCATAGTAAAAGCTCCGAGAGAAGTACACATCATGACTTCCTGTTTGTGACAATCCTCAAAATTTCAGGTTTTCACAGTAGTTTCAGCCATCAACACTAAAGGCATAAGCATCTAACAACTTTGTGGACAGTGAAGCAACTTGGCCAATTAGACGGAAAGGAAGTGCAGCACTAATCTGAAACTAAATACACACAACTTTTCACAGGAATAGCTATTGGCTAACGAGAAGTACTGTGGTCGCCGAGGGTCTTTCCATTATGCACCAGCCGTTCTTCAAAGGTTCACAGAGTGTGTAAAAGAGTGAAGGACAGCTGTCAGTAGCTTCCTAGGGAATGAGCATAAAAATGACTGACATTTACTGAAGTTACAATTGCAAGTTAATAATAATTGATCTTCATGTACATAAACTCTAGTCGAGTGAGGATATGGCTGCACTGAGGAAGTTATTAATTCAGCATGTTACACAGTAACAAATTATTCTAACCCATATTTGGTTACTCAAGTTACTGCAAAGAAACAGCTACTTGTGAGTAAGCTCTAAGATGGTGTGCACAGAGCAGAAGTCTATAACACACATCTTGTTACAGTGTTCTTAAAGCTCCAGATTTTGTCTGTTTACTCTCTGGAAGTGTTTATCAAATATAAGTTCCAGCCCTACTGTGAAGTAGTCAATTCGGCTAACCATGCTACAGAAATCCACCGGTTGGGTATAAAAGGAATCAGGCAGGCATCTTGTTAGAACAAACCAAAAACCCACTGTGGTAATTCCATTTACAGATATTCTACCTTATTTGAAAGGTAGACAAAAAAGGCATCGTATTTCTCCATTTAATGTAACCTGTACATTTAATAGCAATGTGTCTCATGGATTCAGATTTGGGTGCCCTACTACCAGTTCCCAGTATGGGCAGTTTTACTCAGTACTAGGAACACAAAAAACTTGAATTTATTACAAATAAGTCTTCTTATAATGTGATTTGAAGACTGACTGTAGCATTACTTTTCCTAAATGAGTAACAAAAGCAGCTGAAATTTATCCCTTAGGCTGCAAGCTGCACCATACTTAAGACACAGGCATCATGCTGTTGCCACATCTTGATCCATCATCATCTGATGGATCATACCACAGGATAGAACTAAAGTATCTCTCTCCTCCAGGTTCACTGGTACAGGAACACATGCATTCAGATTGCTGGCCAAAGCCATGAAGTAATGCTTATCAGAAGGCCTCAATATGGACTGTTTGCAGTTACTTAACATGGGATTTGTCTATTTTAGTCCATCCTTCAGAGGGAGAACCTGCAATTCTTCTGATGTAAACTTCTGTAAAAATGCAGTACTGGAGAGGAAAAATGAAGTTCAATAAGTGGAATCAACACTGATGGCCATGCCAAGACATTTAATCTTGTCTTCACACACACCTATCCCACCTCTACCTTAAATTGTAACTTTTACACCAGTTTATGTCTGGAAAAGTTCCACAACTGCAATATGCTAAATAGTAACCATGCAGTCACCACGAACTTTGTTCCTTTACTAGTGCCTTTTACATGTTAACCAGTTGGGAGATTGTGGTCAACATGTCACATACACCATCGCCCTATCTTCAGGAAGATGAATTTGCAAATTTGTAACGTTTCTTTTTAGCTTTTGCAGAAGTAGAATCAAAAAGCAGCTAGCCAAAAAAGCAAAGAATGCAGCCAATGGATCTACACATGAAGACACTTCAGTGCAGATCTACAAAAGTAGCTTTATTTAACTGATATTGACTAAATTATACTAACCCTAACATTTAGCAGTTGTGGGCAACCGTTTTTGCCTCTTCATATTGCCTTTTTATGCCTTTTGCTATTTCAGGAAACACTGCAAAGTTCTTGACTTAGCAGCTATATTAATCCAAGATTTAATTAACACCAATTTACCTATGAATACTACATACATTTCAGACTTAACCCTACATAATCTCAAAATCAGCCCAGTGGGTTATGCTCAAAATAAGAATGCATGAAATATAACTTTCCCTTTGAACTTTTTTTAAAAAAAAATAGGCAAATAGATATGTAACAGTAAGGGGAGGGGAAGAGTGATTATTAAACAAGGACTTCCAGGCTTTAAGAAACTGTGTAAGGAATCATTCAGAAATGCTGCCAAGGTAGAATGTGTCTACTACATACAGAACTTCATCCTGTTTCTACCTATCCTAGAATGAGCTACTTTCCTACAGCATTTGCCTAGTCTGGAAAATAAAAATTAAGTCACAACAAAGCACACATCTGGAAAAGGAGTGCTCTTCTACCCAGATATACTCAAATTCTGCTGTTGTTGAATTAATATTCCCCTCAGCTTACACCTTCTTCCAAATTGAAATGCTAACAACAATTTGTCTAGACAGCTGTTTCAGCATCACTAGCGTTACTTAGAATTATCATTGCTTTGTGAGCTAATAAACCTCACCTGCATTCCAACCTGTTCACATTCACCTGAACACATTGAACATGCACACATTTGTATGCCTTCATGGCAGCTGAGTTGCTTGACCAAGTGTATGACAAATGCATATATGGAGAAAAGGATGCAACAGCTTGCCAAGAGTAATTTTTCTCCTCCAAAGCAGGGGCTTCTTACTTTTTCCACTGTTCAGTGTAGCTTTAAAAAGTCAGTACAGCACCTTTTTATTCATAACACAAAATATGCAAAACATCTAGCTTTCTGGGAACTGTACAAGCAAGTCACTTTCTCATAAGGAACAAAGCAAGCCAGTTGTTGCCCTTCAATGGAAAAAGACAAGTTAGTGATTTTTAAATTTGTTCTTAAGTGAGCTTAAGGATTGGCAAAGGTGCTGGACTGATGGCCCTAGAGACTATCCTCAATCTATAGCATAGACAGCATTCCAAGATCCTCCACAATGTTACAGCTCTCAAGGGATTGGTCCTAAAAGGTTGAATCCACTGAGATGATTAAGAAAATGCTATCTACACTTAAATAAAGAAAGTACGTGTTTATTTAACAAAAATCGAAAAGGCAACAAAGCAGGGAGTAGGTTGTGTTGCTCTATGATAGCACCGTGTTAAGGGACGTTATCAGAGCTGTGTCTGGAAGGCGAATGGAGGCAGAGGCAAAGCAAAGATGACTGGCATTTCACACACCCCAGCACTGGGCAAAGACATTTCCTCACAGTGCAGAATGAACTGAAACGAGCCAGGGAGCACAGCAGTTACATAAGCCATTTCAGGACCTTCTGATCTTTTTACCTAACAGAAAGTTACTACAACTTTTAGAGCAAGGAAGTCTGAAGACAAATTTCATAGGTTGAAGGGTCTGGCAGTTTAAAGCTTAAAAATCTGTTAACTGATATTAAGCAAGCATCCTTTTTCTTTTTAAGCAATCTCAGTATGCTACCACATAAAATTCATCCTCAAAAAAAAATAAAATCTACACATGGACTCTTCTACTTGCAGAAATGCAGCTTCATTTCTAAGTTAGCCTTAAAACTTGTAGCAAATAAAGATATAAAGTGGCTTATTTTTATGCATGCAGCTCTAAATGCAATAAATGCTACACAGTGAAATATGATCAACTCATGAAATTAAGGAAAGCACCAAGACAGAGCCTAAGTGCTGATCTCATTTAATGCCAAATCACACAACTAAGAAATTTTTCATTCTCTTGCATCCCAGAATAAGGGCAAGATTCATGTTTAAATATTAGTTTTATTGTATTTGTTCACAATAATGTACATTAGTAAAATCAAGTATTGAAGCTGCAATAACTATCAGATAAGCAAAACCTGATACAAATGCAAGATAGGACAAAAGGTGCAAGTGCTCAGAGGCAGCAGTATTTTATCACTTACCTCATGATGCAGCTCAGCTATCTGATCTTTCAGTTCTCTGATGTACTGGTTAGAATCAGATTTATTCAGCTGCCCTTGAATTTTCCCTTCTTCTTTCTGTTTTAGTTAAAAAAAAAAACAACTTACTGAAATTATTTATGGATATGCTATATTGAAAATCTTAACTATCTGCATAGTTTTGTCATGAACCAAAGCAATTCACAGACACCATGCAGCACTTTTCACCTGGTTGAAGTTACAGCAGGCATCAAGGGATGCCAGTAGCTCAGAGCAAGCTGACCCTCTCAATACTAACCATAGTACAGGCAGGATTCTATGAAGTAGCATGAAGAATTAACAAAGCTTCCCAGGTGGAATTCACATCAAATAGACATGAGGTTCCACATACAATTTAGTAAAGCAACCCTGCAGAATACTATCAATATATGGAACATATCTTAGTATATGTTATTCTCACTAACATAAAGTCTTCTTTTAGTAACAAAGAATTTCCCTTTGCTTCCAAATGACAAGCCAAACATTCTTTCCTTGCATATCACATGAGCTGGGAAACACTATGTATGACAAAAACCAAAGAAAGTTGTAACTAAATAGACTGTAACTAAAAGGAAGTTGTAACACAAAATATTGTGGTATTTATTGTATAGGAGTTCCAGAGAGCATAAGCAAAGAGAAATCAAAAGCAAGCTTTTGACATAAATAGAAGATAGGTGTCATTGCACTTTTAAAATGAAAGTTCAATCAATAGCTGAGCTTACCTTCAAACTGGGTGCAGAAGAGGCCACAAAACAGGCATTGCCAAGTTAAGTCAGTATAAACTAACAGCAGAGGCAATAACGTTTTCTGACTTAAGTCTGGCACTGCACAAATAGCTGGAAGCTGTTAAGAGTGTGCTATGTAGAGTACACCATATTGGGAGTTACATACTTTCATTGTATTTAAGTGGGTTTATTTTTATTCCATAAATAACACTGTAAAGTTAGTGCAGATACCACAAAATAATTTGATATGTACATTTGTTTATAGAAGAACCAGCTCTAGCTCCAATCAGTTGGAGCTGAATGTAGGACATAAGCCTGGCTTGCAAGATCCTCATTATAAATAAAGGGCAAATAAGTTTCAGTTTTCCTTTCAGAACTACAGAATTTGTAGAGCTGACAATTCACAAAAATGCATTTAGCACAAAAAAAAAAGAACCCCCTGCAATGTCATTTTCTACAAACATACTTTTCCTAGAAAAGTCATTCTGTAACTTCCTCTTGCAACATTCAAAACACTAGAGGTCAGAAGCTGATCCTTTTAATTACCTGCAACAGAAATCAGGTATTTCTAAATAAGCCCATGTTCTATAAGCTACAAAGTGGGTAAATTGGAAGAATGACACAGGAGAAATTTTAGGACAAGGTATCAGAGTCTTCCTCACAGCTGCTGTTGATCTCTCTAAACAATAACAAGGATATATTCTACTCTTTTTTAATAAGCTACGTTGATCATACCATTATTTTAGTTATTTAAAAGACACTCATGCAGGTACAGTAGCAAGCCACTGAAAAACATGCAGGAGTCAAGCACTACAGCATTAAAATATTTTTTGAATTCTTACAAAGAATCTAAAGAATAAATAGAATGCTGAAAGTTCATATATTTTCAAAGGAACCAAAATACTTACATCTATAAAAAGTAGTTTTACTACTTTAAACATTCTTATTCTAAATCATACTACTTTTAAGCATTTTACATTCTTTAAAACTGTGTGATGAGATTGATATTTCTCATCAATACATATTTATTTTCATACAAGTACAAAATATTACTATGTTCTGCAAAATGGTTTCACTTTCCAGTCACCTTTCATATTGCACTAAGTTCAGATTACTTTATAGAGATTTCCAGCTTCTGATGAACATTTGTTAATCAAAGAAAATTTTAATGTGAGCAACTTCATTTGGTAGCAATATTCTCTAGCACTAGTTTTTTTGTTAGGGCAGCTGGACAGAAGTCAAAGAGAAAAATTGTTGGCAGGAAAAACTTCAGCATAGCAGTTCCTTTTAACATGACAGAAAGCAGCATTAACAGCTTCCCCTACTCTGTTGGTATCTGTCACAAGGATAATACTTTCTCTCAAAAAGTCTGTAGTTCTAGATTTGCTTCTCAACCTATCCTAGGTTATACAACATGCTGTCTATTACATGAATCAAACTTGGCTGGATGCAGAGGGACAGGGAATTAGCCAGGTTGCAAGTGATATCAAAGTGGGACAGAAACTGAGATGTGAAGATACAACAGGTATTGAATAGAACTGAAACAAAGGTAAGGACCTTAGACAATAACACTGGTGCATTCTTGCAGATTTCATCTTCAGCCCACTGTCTGTAGGATATGGCTGTTGCATTTATTTAGTTAGGTGATGCACTGCAGGGCAATCAAAGATGATAATCCAGGAGTAACTACTAGCCCTCTGTCATTCTTTTGATTCTCTGGAGATGCATGTTTTCCATTCTTCCTGTTCTGCTGCTGCCACCCTTCATTTTGCTTACCCCTCTAGAGAACAGATAAATTAATTGCTCCTGCTAAGGGTCCAACAGTGCATGTTGAGAAAGTTTCTAGGAAGAAATCAGTCCTGTATGGATTAAGTCTTGTCTTGCCTCGGGCACCTCAGCCTAAGCTATGGCCCATGGAAGCTCACCTACTGAGATCAAAGGATAACTGGAGTTGGGGAACAGAGGGCTACCCGCCCAAAGGCCAGAAGCCTGCACTCTCCATGGTCCAACTCCAGCAGCCAGGGAGGTTGGAGCTCACATTAAGCACACTATCGATATCCCTCCTTCTGGTCTAATATTGTTATTATTGCTAGCACCTTCTTGCTTCTAGTGTTGAGCCATACAGATGTGCTAGAAAACACATTGTTAGGATGGATTGATTTTGCAAGTCTTTCACAACTAAAACAAATTAAAATGAACTCTCTTAAATGGTAAGGGTGTTCAAGAGCAAAGGACCTAAAAATCTGTCTTCTGAAGAACCACCAAGGAAAAAAGCAGATTGCTCTGCTCAAGGCCCTTCTACATTTTAAATTTGGCTTTAACTTTCTGTTTTTTAAAAGAAATGCCAAAAAGCTAAGTTTTTCCATTTCCCTTAAACTACATTTTGATATGCTCTGTCTTTGAACTGGTCTGTCTTCCTCAGAATAGAATAGACTAGACAACATTATTTCAGTTGGAAAGGACCTACAATAATCATCTAGTCCAACTGCCTGGCTAAAAGCTAAAGCATGCTATTAAGGGCATTGTCCAAATGCCTCCAACACTGACAGGCATGGAACATCGACCTCCTCTCTAGGAAGCCTGTTCCAGTTTCTAGCCACTCTCTCAGTAAACCAATGCTTCCTAATATCCAGCCTAAACCTCCTTTAGTGAAACTTTGAACCACTCCTACAAGTCCTGTCACTGGATACCAGGGAGAAGAGATTGGCACCTCCCCATCCGCTTCTTTAGAGAGCAATGAGGTAGCCCTCAGACTCCTTTTCTCCAAACCAGACAAGCTCAAAGTCCTTAGCTGCTGCTCACAGGACTTTCCTTGCAGCCCTTTCAGCTTGGTTGCTTTCCTCTGGACACACTTAGGGACCTTCGCATCCTTCTCAAATTCTGGGGCCCAGAACTGCACACAATATTCAGAGTGAATGCTGCCACACTAAGTTATTAGACAGATCCACTAATAAGAGAAATTAAATTGCTTTCACATAGGTTGAGTTAATAGGAAGCTGAATGCTTCCTATTGTAGCACTTACTTCGGTAAGAACCAGGCAGTTCACTCTGCATTGGTGTTACACTGTGCTTGAATAGTTCTGTACTATTGTGCTTGAGTAGTTCTGCACTTCTGAAGAAAACACTCAGATCAGCTGTACAGGTCCAAAAGTGAATGTTAAGGCTCCACTTACAATTTAAGAACATCACACATTTTAAAGGGAAGTAGCACAAACATTTAGTAATCTCTCTCTTCAGAGTTTTTTTTCAAAAATCTAAGATTATACACATAGGATGTGGGTTATTGGTTTGGTTTTTTTTTTGTTGTTTTGTTTGTTTGTTTGTTTTTTTTTTGTTGTGTTGTTTGTTTGTTTGTTTTTTTTTTGTTGTGTTGTTTGTTTGTTTGTTTTTTTTTTGTTGTGTTGTTTGTTTGTTTGTTTTTTTTTTGTTGTGTTGTTTGTTTGTTTGTTTTTTTTTTTGTTGTTTTGTTTTTTTTTTTTTATGGGGAGCACTATTACAGAAAATCTGTGGTATTTGGGGAGGTCATGACAAAGAGTAGCAGGTCTCTAGGCAAATAATAGTCATTTTAAACTTAATATACAGTGAAAAAGCCAGATAGCATAACAGTAAGTCAAGTCTAATTATGAAAGCTAGCCAGTTCTGGAATCTAGGAATTTTGCTTTAAAAAAATCTCTGCAATCGTGCATGAATGAACCTCCGCGCCCATTCCCCTGGGGTACTGCTTCTGCATATTGGCATTACTGCAGTGCCTACCTCTTATTCCCAGAAAGGCTTTTAGAATAGTGAAGCCAGTTGGTGTTACGTTGTTATTAAAGATCCATCATCTTGATTTCACTGCTTTTGAGGATTAAGAAATCTCCCTAGTCTTATTGTCTCTTCCAGCAGACCCAGTTCCATCAGCACTAACAGTGTTAGAAAACCCTGCATCAAGGAGACAAGCACCCTAGTGACCTGGTATCAACTTTGCTCAAGGAAGAGGTACTTGGAACAGGGTAAGCAGCCAATACATAATCCAACCTCCTGCCTCAGAGGCTGTGTATAGAGAGGGAGTAGCACAGGCTGTGAAGCAGGAAATGAGCCCTACAGATCAAAAAAAGTCAGCAGCTAAAACAGAACTTAGATCACACTTAAGTCCCTTCAGTTTTGGAAGCTCTCACCTCTGAAGCATGTGCTAGGGGGACTGTACTTGCATGAATAGCAGGAGTTGCACAGAGTTCTTCCTGAGAAGAAAACAAAATCTGTTTCCTCCTTCCTAGAATGAGAAAAAATTCTGCCCACCAAAAATGATCAGTTGAGATTCATCATTGTAGGATCATACTTAAAAGCCTTCTTTGT